TGGTATATGAACGATGTTTTTTTCTTTTTTGTTTCTTTTTTTTAATTTCTGAAGAAATAAGTTCATTTTTCATTTCTTTTCTTGCTTATTATACACAAGACGAAGGCGTAGATACGGATACGAAGAAGAAAACAGTTGTCCGGCCAAAAATACGAAACGCCCAGAATTAAGGCATGAAGTTTCTTAAACGACGAAGCAAATTATATTTGATGCAACTTCATCTCGGTCTAGATTCTAAGTCACTATTTTTTTTCTTTATTTACTTCTATTAAAAATGCAAACAAATTAAACTATTTATATAACTGGGGAGAGTTTTGAATAGAGGACAGAAATTGTGGCACCCAAATCAGTAGTCTTACTGGGATAGCGAAAGCAGCCTTCGAGAAGCTAAGCAAAGGAAGCAGGAAAATTTCGTTAGAAAGAAAGAAAATAGAATTTAACTGTTATATCAGCCCTCCAATATGACAGTGAGTGCTGAACAATCTCAACACAGATGAAGCAATGGAGATGTGAGAAGGAGGCAGAGAATACCATGGACTGAAACATGCGAACAACGACGAAAATTTTACAGAAAATGGAAGCAAAAAGTACGCTGATACTTATCAAAAGAAAGAGGCTGTTGAAATGTCTAAGGGAACGTAATGAAGATTTGTGCACACACGTCAGTCATAGCTCGAATAGAGGCGAGGAAACATGGCCGTGTTGAAAGAACTCTTTCTGAATTGCCTGATTCGTGACTATAAGGGTGACTAGTCGGCAGCCGCATCACGATATTAAGTAGGCACTGTGGCCCATTTATATTTCTTTAGGTATTTTTTCATTTCTTTTAGTAACGTATGCCGAGAAAATTACTCTCAGATTGTGCTAGTAGGTTCATTTCAACATAGAACTAAAAGTGTGAAGGGAGCAAAGGGCTTTTGCGAGACACACCGGCTTGCCCGTGAGGCAAGAGCCAGAGCTAAATAAAAATTATTTCGTTTATCTAGAAAACTGTTATGTATGTGAGGTAATACATACTGCTGTGAACAATTCTTTTTTGTGCACGAAAAACATCAAAACTAGTGAAACGGTTTGAGTGATTCCCTTTTAAGTAATATTCTTAGAATAATGACGAGTGCCATGAAAGTAGATATTGACAAGGATAGCAATGCCAAGAATCATATTGAATTAATTTTATTTTCTGTATGTAGAATTTGTTGTGTTTTTTTTACTGTTAATAATACAGTATTTTTTGTAATTCTCTATATATTTGATATTCATAATGTTTTAAACTACTAAAGTACTTTTTGTAGTTCATATATCATCATTCTTCGGCCTCCCTATGGTTGATCGGAACTCCATTGACAATCTCTTTTCACACTGTTCTGTCCTGTAAATGATTTTCTAAGCATAACTTAGATGTGGCACACGGCTGAGAGTGTGGAGCACCCAGTGAGGATCGAACTCACTATTCAGTCGTAACTGTTTTAGCGAGACAAGCTTGCTAACCATTACACCACGCCAAGGTGCCCATTCCGCTGTCTCCAGATCTTAATGCTGTCTCCAGATCTTAATGCTGTCTCCAGATCCTAATGTCCAACATTGTGTCCCTAGCTATGTTGTTTGGGAAAGTCAATTTTCGTGAGAAGACACTTCTAGAAGGATGCCATAGGAGTAAAGATGAGACGATTTCACTGTCCGCATTTTGTTTGAGCTTAATATATATATATATATATATATATATATATATATATATATATATATATATATATATATATATATATATATGTAAATTTTAATTTGGCCAATAAGGAAAAAAGTTGGACAACGCTGAAACCGACGTCTTCCTTTTATGTAAAGTATGAACATTTTTCTTCGTCTTCTTTATGTGCCCTGTCCCTTCAGGACGTAGGCGGTTATTGCTCTCCACAACTTCCTATCCTTTGTAGCTCTTAATTAAATTTTGTCTTTTTTGTTACTTCTCCTAAACCGTGTTCCGCCATCCATTTACTGAACCTCACTAAGTAAGTTATGTGTTGTGTTCTGCTTTCCTTCAATCTGTCCTATGAGTATTAGATTTTCCCAGCCCTCTTACCTCATTATCTGCTCTAGAAATTTCAACTGTCTCTTCCTGATGTTAAGTATATTTCTTTTGTTTACATGTTCTTTAAAACTCACACGGTAAAACACAGCATCCTTCTGTAGAACCATATTTCTCTTGCTTCAAGTTTTTTCCTACATCTGTGAGGAGATTTTCCAACATAACCGGGTGTTGAACTCACACTCTTTGGGTCTGTCACTGGATCTAACCAACGTCTTTATCCACTGTGCCATGTGACCTTGAGGTTAAGGCAGTGGAGAACTTTCAGAGGGAAAATTAGCAGGAGATAACTGATAACTGACATCCATCAAACATGGCACGTGGAACTAGAGCGGTCTACCCCAGTGATCGAAGTCGAAATTCCAACCACCTGAAGAAGGCCGGAGCGTACAACGACCGAAACGTTGTGACAAATATGGCGACAAAGATGAGCACAATAGTCAGACTAATGTAAATAACAGGGCGTCTACTAAAACATGTGTATCCACTAAAAAAAATAGTTTATAATAATGTATATGTATATGCATCCCAAACGCTATGAAATAGTGAATCCAAAATAAATTATGGTGTTCGGTCATTGAAATATTGGTTTGGGGCAAGTGGCTCTGGCCGAGTACTTTTCAGCACCCCCGGCTCATCTTTTCTTTTCTTTTCTTTTTTTTTTCTGCCTCACTGGCATGTCTATCATTTCTTCTCTTTCTTTCCCTAAATATCTCGGTCTTGTTTCTATCTTTGCTCATGAATTTGCTTCTGTTTATCTATCCCGCCCTATCGTTTACCCTGACACCCCCATCCCAGGCCCAGTGTCGCAAATACACCACTGTAATACATTATGAACGATCTACCTAGGGAATGCCGGACATGCATAGCGAACAACAATGGTACACACGGGGACTTGAGGTTTACAAATTCTCTCCCTATCCCACACTTGACTGATAAAAGTAAAAATAAAATAAAAAAAAATAAAAACTTTTAATGATATTACGATCGAGGGACTTGGAGGAACTGCATTTTAAAAGAAACAAAAAATAACAACGTATGCAGGCCGACACACACACACACACACACACACACACACACACACACACACACACATCACGTTATATGCAAACGAGCTAACCCTTGTGCAATGAGTATCTGATGCAAATGATGAGGAAGAAGGTGAATAAGCGGAACATGACAAAATAAGACAACGGGGACTCGAGTCAGATTCAACACACGCGCACACTCTCTTGCATATAAAAGAATTGAGATTAGTTTATTGATTTATTTATTATGATTATGATTATTAATATTATTATTATTATTATTATTAGTAGTAGTAGTAGTAGTAGTAGCCATGAAAAGAAAAAAGTTGGAAAGCAACAAAAAAAAAAGAGAAATAAAAGAGAACAATTGAAAAGACGTGAAGGTGTGTAAAGTTTGGGAAGATGAAGTTCGGTTGAAGTAGAAAGAAAAGCGTGAGAAGAGAATGAATGAATGAATGAATGAATGAGAAAGGATAACGAACGAAGTTGAATGAACTAGGTAAGAGCAAAAAGAAAGAAAGAAAGAAATAATAGATACACGTTACAAAATACGTAAGAAAGAAAGAAAGAAAGAAAGGAAGGAAGGAAGGAAGGAAGGAAGGAAGGAAAAAGGAATTATAAATACACATTACAAAAATACGTAAGAAAGAAAGAAAGAAAGAAAGAAAAAAAGAAAGAAAGAATAGATACACGTTACAAAATACGTAAGAAAGAAAGAAAGAAAGAAAGAAAGAAAGAAAGGAAGCAAGGAAGGAAGGAAGGAAGGAAGGAAGGAAGGAAAGAAAAAGGAATTATAAATACACATTAGAAAATACGTAAGAAAGAAAGAAAGAAAGAAAGGAAGGAAGGAAGGAAGGAAGGAAGGAAGGAAAAAGGAATTATAAATACACATTAGAAAATACGTAAGAAAGAAAGAAAGAAAGAAAGAAAGAAAGGAAGCAAGGAAGGAAGGAAGGAAGGAAGGAAAAAGGAATTATAAATACACATTAGAAAATACGTAAGAAAGAAAGAAAGAAAGAAAGAAAGAAAGAAAGAAAGAAAGAAAGGAAAGAAGGAAGGAAGGAAGGTAGGAAGGAAGGAAGGAAGGAAGGAAGGAAAAAGGAATTATAAATACACATTACAAAAATACGTAAGAAAGAAAGAAAGAAAGAAAGAAAAAAAGAAAGAAAGAATAGATACACGTTACAAAATACGTAAGAAAGAAAGAAAGAAAGAAAGGAAGCAAGGAAGGAAGGAAGGAAGGAAGGAAGGAAAGAAAAAGGAATTATAAATACACATTAGAAAATACGTAAGAAAGAAAGAAAGAAAGAAAGAAAGGAAGGAAGGAAGGAAGGAAGGAAGGAAAAAGGAATTATAAATACACATTAGAAAATACGTAAGAAAGAAAGAAAGAAAGAAAGAAAGAAAGGAAGCAAGGAAGGAAGGAAGGAAGGAAGGAAGGAAAAAGGAATTATAAATACACATTAGAAAATACGTAAGAAAGAAAGAAAGAAAGAGGAAAGAAAGAAAGAAAGAAAGAAAGAAAGAAAGGAAAGAAGGAAGGAAGGAAGGAAGGAAGGAAGGAAGGAAGGAAGGAAGGAAGGAAGGAAAAAGGAATTATAAATACACATTAGAAAATACGTAAGAAAGAAAGAAAGAAAGAAAGAATAGATACACGTTACAAAATAAGTAAGAAAGAAAGAAAGAAAGAAAGGAAGGGAGGAAAGAAGGAAGGAAGGAAAGAAGGAAGGAAGAAAAAAAGAAATAATAAATACACATTAGGAAATACGAAAGAAAGAAAGAAAGAATGAAAGAAAGAAAGAAAGAATATACATTAATGAATGTGAAATAAAGGAAGGAAGGAAGGAAGGAAGGAAGGAAGGAAGGAAGGTAAAAGGAATTATAAATACGCATTAGAAAATACGTAAGAAAGAAAGAAAGAAAGAAAGAAAGAAAGAAAGAAAGAATAGATACACGTTACAAAATACGTAAGAAAGAAAGAAAGGGAGGGAGGAAAGAAGGAAGGAAGAAAAAAAGAAATAATAAATACACATTAGGAAATACGTAAGAAAGAAAGAAAGAAAGAAAGAAAGAATGAAAGAAAGAAAGAAAGAATATACATTAATGAATGTGAAATAAAGAAAGAAAGAAAGAAAGAAAGAAAGAAAGAAAGAAAGAAAGAATAAAAACATGTTACCAAATAAGAAAGAAAGAAAGAAAAAGAAAGGGAAAATGGAAGGAAGAAAGAAAGGAAGGAAGAAAGACATTCTAAATACACGTTACCAGATAAGAAAGGAAGGAAGGAAGGAATGAAGAAGGAGAAGAAATAATAAATACACATTACAAAATGCGTAAGTAAATAAGAAAGAAAGAAAGAAAGAACGAATATACATTAATGAATGTCAAAGAAATAAAGAAAGAAAGAAAGAAAGAAAGAAAGAACGAATATACATTAATGAATGTCAAAAAACAAAGAAAGAAAGAAAGAAAGAAAGAAAGAAAGAAAGAAAGAATATACATTAATGAATGTCGAAGAAAGAAAGAAAGAAAGAAAGAAAGAATGGATACAAATTACCAAGTAAGAAATAAAGAATATATATCCGTCAATAAGAAAGAAAAGAGAATGTACATTAGTCGATATCAAAAAAAAAAAAAAAAAAAAGAACGAAAGAAAGAAGCGATGGATATACGTTAAACCATGCGAAAAAAAGAAAGCATATATGCTATCCCGTGAGAAAGAAAGAAAAAATGAATATCAATATGGAAGACAGAGTATATATTAGGTCAAGAGAAAGAAAGAATATATAAGAAGAAAAATGAAATTAGTAACAAGAAACGAAAGAAAGACAGAAGGAGAGAGAAAGAAACAGAGACAGAGAGAGAGAGAGAGAGAGAAATGAGTAAAAATTAAGGAGAAAGAAGAAAGAAAAAATGCATATTAGACGAAGAGAAAAAAAAAGAATGTTATCTCGTGAGAAAGAAGAAGAAAGGAAAGAAAGCACTATAGCATGCAAAACAGTAATATAGACAAAAAAAATAAAACAATGAGCAAAAAATAACGCGAAAAAAGAGAAAGAAAGAGATAAAGAAATGAGTAAAGAAAGTAAGGAGAAAGAAAGAAAGACTACCTATTACAGCAAGAGAAAGAAAGTTATATGCTATCACGGGAGAAAGAAGAAGAAAAGAAAGCAAAATAACATGTAAAACAGAAAGAAAGCAAGAAATAAAGAAAGAAAGAAAAAGGGGAAAAGAGCAAATAAAAAGAAAGTCAGAAACAAAGAAAGTAGTAGTAGTAGTAGGTAAGAAAAGAAAAGTTCAGAAACGTTACCAAATTAGAAAGGAAGGAATAATAAATACACGTTCCAAATTACGTAAGAAAGAAAGAAAGAAAGAAAGAAAGAAAGAAAAGGGAAAAGAAAATGCTCAACAAAAAAGAAAGACAGAAATAAAGAAATTAGTAGTAGTAGTAGTTAAGGAAAGTTCAGAAACGTTACCAAATATGAAAGGAAGGAAAGAAGGAAGGAATAATAAATACACGTTCCAAAATATGTAAGAAAGAAAGAAAGAAAGAAAGAAAGAAAGAAAGAAAGAAAGAAAATGCTCAACGAAAAAGAAAGACAGAAATAAAAAAAATTGGTAGTAGTAGTAGTTGTAGCCAAGAAAAGTTCAGAAATGTTACCAAATAAGGAAGGAAGGAAGGAAGGAAGGAAGGAAGGAAGGAAGGAAGGAAGGAAGGAGGGAATAATAAATACGCGTTCCAAAATGCGTAAGAAAGAAAGAAAGAAAGAAAGAAAGAAAGAAAGAAAGAAAGAAAGAAAGAAAGAAAGGGAAAAAAAGAAATGATCAACGAAAAAGAAAGACTGAAATAAAGAAATTAGTAGTAGTAGTAGTAGTACCTAAGAAAAGTTCAGAAACGTTACCAAATATGAAAGGAAGGAAAGAAGGAAGGAAGGAAGGAAGGAAGGAATAATAAATACACGTTCCAAAATATGTAAGAAAGAAAGAAAGAAAGAAAGAAAGAAAGAAAGAAAGAAAGAAAAAGGAAATGATCAACGAAAAAGAAAGACTGAAATAAAGAAATTAGTAGTAGTAGTAGTAGTAGTTGTAGCTAAGAAAAGTTCAGAAACGTTACCAAATATGAAAGGAAGGAAGGAAGGAATAATAAATACGCGTTCCAAAATACGTAAGAAAGAAAAAAAGAAAAAAAAGGTAAACGAAAGAAAGCAAAGAAAAAGAAAGACAGAAAGAAAGAAAAATGCTAAACGAGAAACAGAATTTGAGTTTCTGAGAAAGAAAACTTTGAATATGCCTTAACACGTTTGTAGATAAGAGAAATTAGAGGAAAAAAAAGGTAAGTGAAGAAAAGAAATAAACAAACGAATATTGAAATGCCAGGAAAAAAGTGTTAGAAATATAAAAAGAGAAAGAAAGAATAAAAGATACAAATTATGAATGGAGGAAAGAATCTGAATAAATGATTTTATATACCTGGCCTCCCCACTAAGGCAGAATGTGACATAATGTCGTTTTTTTTTCTTTATAGATGATGACAGTAATAACGACAGAAGGGAAGAAGACACAAGGAAAAAAAAAGGAAAAAAATTCCAAAAGCACATGACAAAATAATACTAAAATAAGAGATGGACACTCAGGAAATCAACGAAGGAAAAATGCAGAGAAAATAAAAAAAGCAAAAAGTTTTAAATTAGGGATCACGGGTCGTGTGCTGAAATTTAAGTCTGACAGAATTAATAAAAAGCCTGGACTTATATGCATTAAGCTCGATCGTCACAGTAATGCAAATATTGGGTAGCTAAAAGTATCATCGCTATTGACCTTATTTGTTGCCATCGAAAGACCCCACTATCAACATCAAAGATTTTACTGACGGAAATCATCAAATATCTTGAATGGACAATACATGTTCATGTTACAAGCGTTATTTCCATAACTGCGTCTTTATTTGACTCGGATTCTTTGATATGCTCCTGACTGTTCTTATTCTTTGTGCCGTGTGGAGGTGGGTGATTATGGCCCTCCACAATTTCCTATTTTGTATTCTGCTAAGTAATGTTTGCTCCTTTTCTGTGGCCCCAATTCATGTTCTGCATCAGATATTTTACTGAATGTTTTATTCTGTCTCTCTTGCCGTCAATATATCCTGTGAGTGTCGAATTCCCCGAGTCCACTTTTCTCATGGGTCACCAAAATTTCAAATTTATCTTCCTGATCCTAATCTTTGGTGTCTATTTCGGTCCCATTTTCCTCATGGAAAACCTCCACGCTGCTTATATGTTCCGTCCATGATATTCTCAGAATATCTCTGTATTAGGATATCTACGTTGTCTCAAGTCTCCTCTACATTCGTGATATTTTTCCCGGTATTCACTGCCATATAGGAGTATTGATATTAAGTAGAATTTCGGAGCTTTCGTATCTAGTAAGTTTTTTCAGGTTTCTTAATACTTTGCTTAGCTTCAGGAAGTTATTTTTTGCTCTTCCAATGCGCTTTCAGAGTTCAGAGCTTCTGCATCTGATTGATTCTGATCCGACTCTGACAAATTCGTAGCCCATATCTTTGGCCGACCCTCTTACACATACCGTAAAAACTAAAGGCATACTAAGTGAAATATTAGTAAAAAAAAATTACTTATAAATTCAACAAACTCTTTATTAGTAATTCGCTAACAAAACCCTTTTTTTCCTTAAGAAATATTTCGGTTTTTCTTAGCATTGCTTCGATTAGGTTCTGGAAACAATCCTTTGAAATTAATGTCCATGTTGCTATAATTCCATCTTGAAATTCTTCTAGATTCGTTGGCTGCTCTTCCAGGATTCGGATCTACCTTTCCACCACATCCCAAAAGTACTCTATGTATTTGAGATTCCATGTGTGCGCGGAGGCCATCTGAACACCGAAAAAAAACATTACTATGTTTCAGCCGAACATACATTCCTTAGTGCCATCGGTTGTAACCTACACGACTAAGACCTGCCATGCTACGCACATTGTAGTAAACCACCCTTATTTCCTTTGTATTACATTGGTAAAAAAAAATAAAGTAAGTTCCACTCTAGTAGGTTCTTCCCGCAAACCACTACTCTGTAGAACCGACATCCAAGTAGATGTGATCCAAATTACTACAATCTTAAGTATTCAAGGAAGGGACCAGATTAAACAACACCGGGTAGAGACGGTCAAGGCGACTTTATACAAGAACAAGTCGGCAGTCCGATGAAAAGCTGTCATCATTAACCGGCCTATCAAGTCCTGGTTTTCCGCAGCAGATGGTGTCAGCTGAAGTGCGTATGCCATGGAGTGGCGACCCATGAATCACCTCAAACAAGGCTTTCATGCTCAAAGAATTTTCTTCTTCTCACGTCTAATGTACCAGCTGGAGAAGATCAGTCCACGAAAAAACAACATCCTTCAAAAACACTATAAGACAAGTAGAAGAGACGAAGTGAGCCCAAAGTAAAGCCAGAGCTCTCCATTTTTATATTTACAAATTCTCTGTCCTTGACCAATACATATAGCAATATAGCACAGTGTAAAATATATTTTATTTTATATATATATATATATATATATATATATATATATAATCGACTCTCCCGTCGAGATTCGACTTATGAGGGTCAAGCAGATCAGTTTCCAGGAAACCGCCAACAGCCCGACACCGGCACATGAGATTTGATTATAGTGGTGAAGGCCTCGTGCAGGACCATCCACACTTTTTGAAGGGACGAATACAGAGACCTGGTGCACTGAATGCCACAAGGTTCCCAAGCGACCCTCTGCAGGTTTTGAATTCAGAGTTGTCCTTCTCCTAGACCAGTTGCCATCCAAGGCTATAGAACCCAGTCTGTCCTGCTATTTTACCTATAGCTGGAGGGAGAGGAAGAGGATTGATACCTTTCCCCAGGGTATTAGCACGTAAATGAATGTAATGGATTCGACTGGAATTAGCACATAAGTGAATGTAATGGATTCGACTGAATTCGAACTCGGCTCCTCAATCCAAGCCGCTATCCATTACTCCACTGTGCTCTCCGTATATCTATATATATATATATATATATATATATATATATATATATATATATATATATATATATATATATATATATATATATATATATATATATATAAGAATTATTTAATTATGATTATTTCTGAATCCTCCTAATTATTTCTATCTGTATCGGCTAATAATGCTCTGGACTGAGCGGCTTGGGGATGGTAGTCGTATCTCGTGGAGGCACAGTCCTGTAGGTAAATAGATACTCGGATGAGTTCCACCACGGAATATGTGATCGAGCGGCACTATATCGAGTCTAAATCGTTACCTCTTCGTCAGCGAAGTTGGTATGGCGTTTGCCTCCTATCGTAACTGTTCGGTAGTGGATGCGCACTGCTGATGAGTCCCAAATGTAAGACGAAACGGCCGTCCACTGGTTTCTGTATTCTGTTGAGGTTTCTTCTGGACTCGATGAATTATTTAATTATGATTATTTCAAATCCTCTTAATTATATATATATATATATATATATATATATATATATATATATATATAGGAAAAGACAATATTTATAAGGCATTTTTAAAATCAAAAGCTAAAATAAAAACAACCGGTTTCGTCCCAGGACTCATCAAGTTTATTTATTCTGGGAATTTAAAAACGCGTAAATTATTTTTTTAATTAACGAATGGAATCGAATGGGGGGAAAAAAATTTGAATTTCAAGAAACTAGAGTCCAATACTATTCAGACCCAGCAAGCATTCCCTCTGTTTACAAAGGGAAGGCTCACGACATCTGATAGACAAGGACCCTAGAACCTTGAGGTGAAATGTGGAGTGGGACCTAGATAAAATTATAAATCGGTCACCACTAAAATTTTCCACACATTTCCTTCTATTTATTAAATGTTCAGCAATAGCAGAACCAGAACTGTTAGTCAGTTGGCTATTCCTGGAGGACGGATTCAAAATTTAAAATTCCCAGAATAAATAAACTTGATAAGTCCTGGGACGAAACCGGTTGTTTTTATTTTAGCTTTTGCTTTTAAAAATGCCTTATAAATATTGTCTTTTCCTATCTGTTATTAAATTCTGTGCCACAAAAAAAACTTATATATATATATATATATAATTCGCAGACAGTACTCTTTCACTGTATCACGGCTCCTCAGTGCGACTAGACATCCGAATGCCTCAAGCCAGGAACGAAATCCAACCAATTTGGTGTTATTCAGAGCTTCTATATGGTATATATGGAGTTTCTTCAAAGAAGCGGTCAGCGAGATTGGTCTCTACATTAATGCTGGCAAAACAGGATTTATCAGCTACAACAAAGAAAGGAGAAATTAAGTTGAAAAACGGTAACATCAAATCCAGCCAGGAATTTGTTTACTACGGCAGTAATATCCAGTCAAAGAGACATCAAAATTCGCAAAAGCAACGCCTGGGGTGTCCTTGATGGTCTGAGCACCTCTGGAAGTCGTTTTTCTCTGACAATCTTAAGAGGGACTTTGTTAAGGCCTCGGTAGAATCCGTCTTGCTTTATGGTTCAACAACATGGACACTGATGAAACATCAAGAAGCATCATTTGACGGAACATACACAAGGGTGTTACGAGTTGCAGAGGACATCAGCTGGAAGAAACACAGAATAAGGAAATGCCTGTATAGGCATCTTCCTCCTATCTCAGTTTCGTTAAGAGAGGGAAGGCTTCGGCTAGCTGGTCACTCCTGGAGAAGTAAGTCAGAACATGTTAATGACATCTTCCTCTGGAACCCATTGCGCGACAAAAGATTGGTTGGAAGACCTCATCACATCAACATTGACCGACTCCTCGATGACTCTGGATCCCATTTGGAGGACTTACCGACAGCAGTGTCGAACGGAGATGGTTGGAATGAACGAGTCACAAGAATCCGAAAGGAATTCTCGACCTGATGATGATGGCGGAGACGAGTCGACATTTCAAACGTCGATAGAAGCGAGAAAACGCATTGGGAGCGAAACACATGTTTAAACGAAAACGACTGCCTCTTGTTACACTATGGCATTAGCCAATTTTTGCTTTTTTTTTGGTGGGGGGTGGGGGCTTCAAATACATTCTGTTACTTTAGTCAACTTAACACAAGTTTCAGAGTGCATGCAGGTCGGTGGTTTGTCAACCGTGTATTTTTTTTGTTTATTTTCTCTCTTTTTCTAAAATGTGGCAAACAGATATTTTATATCCATCCTACGTCTACAAGAAAATGCAGAAGTACCTTCTAAATTCTTCTTGCCAGTATCTGGTGTTATGTTGCGTTAATGTGTTTCAAAGATGTGACTCTGAATCTATCTTTGTCTTCTAAATACATATTATATCAGTTGATACGGTGAGAATACTAAACAAGAGGAGAGAGAATCTGTAATTTCTCTGTATATTAAAACACTCAATTAAATAACTGATTATAAATACATTTCAGTGTTAGTCATTATAATCATACACTAAGCTAAGTAGCTGACTACAGTCAAATAACAAATAGTGATACATAGGATATAAATTCTTCTGTATATAAAAATGAACAGGAATTCAAAATACAGGCTATCCAGCAAAAAAAAGTTGTAAATTTAGAAAGACGTGAGGCAACCGTTAAAAACTGGTGACGACTGACGCGACTGAAAAAAAATCAGGGAGAATTTCTATACATTTCGTCAATCCCGACGTCGGATATTGTCCTTTGAAAAGTACGTTATATTGACGCTCAAAATCAGTGAGTTGTTTAGGCATACGGGAAGGGTAAATCGAAAGACGAAAGTTGACTGCATAATAATCTTTAAATGACGCTTCATAAGATCGGGCAGCAATTAATCAATCATAAAAGAACCAATCGGAGTTAAGTAGGTACGCGAGAATTCAATTCAAGGTCATGGATATTCCAGGAATTTATTCAAGGTTATTCAAGGTCAATTATTCCTGAAAGTTAAAACAGTGATAATAAATTTCCTTGGCACTCAGTATAACCACGTTAAATTGTGTCCGTATTAACAAACATTACCGCTTTATTGTAAAGAGTGTTACAATAACTTGGACCGATTTTAAATGTGAATTAATTAACATTATTGTCGCCATATTTATCACAATTTATTCTTCAGGTAGTTGGAATGTCGAACTGAACCCTTTATTTCGCTCACTGGAGTGGACTGTTCTAGTTCCACGTGGATGGATGTCAGTTATCAGTTATCTTCCCCTCTGAAAGTTCTCCAATGCCTTAACCGGGTATTGAACTCACACACTTTGGATCCTGTCACTAACCAACGCCTTTATCCACTGTGCTATGTGTCCTTGAGGACATCTGGGTATGAATTTCTAGCTATTATAAACCTAATGTCCATAATAATGTACATAATACCTCATCTCAGAAATATAGACAGACTCTGAATTAATTAAGTTTAAGCGTCTAATGATTTTTTTCTTTTTCTTTCAGATTTGGCGGACATTTGGGCGATATTATTTTTCACACATAATTGGCATGACTTAAATAACATGATCCAATAGAGAAATAAATAAATTTTCACTAATAACACTGATTTATTTACTGCTGACTTTGATCCATCTTAACGAAACACCCTTATATATAATCCGTCTTAATGAAACACCCTTTATAAGCAGCCACTACATAGACTTACTTAATGTAAAAAAGAATAAACACTTTATCTTATCAGCCAGCGCAGAATACTCAACAGGACTGAAGAATTCAAATCAATATAGAACTTGGTCTGCTTTGCTATTTAACCCATAGCTGATGGGAAATGTTGGATTCATACATGTTCTAAGCGCATTTGTGCATAAGTGGATGTAATGAACTCGAGTTCTATCGCTCTGAGTAAAAAATAAAACGATTTTTAATCTGAAAAATCAAGAATGCCATCAATCTGGATTTGCGAATATTAGGTGTCTACAAAAAAGTTTCCAATATTTTATATTTAAATATACAAGCCATAAAAATATTCTACTCTATATCCACTTCCTTTTCTATTTTTTAAAGATCACCTTTGCACACACCTAATATAATCGATCAACTAAAACATTCTTTTTTCTATGTGTTGTGTCCTTTCAGAAAATGTGAGATCATGACACTCCATAATTTCCTTTCTTTTATAGCTCTTAATAAAATTTGATTTTTATCTCTCCTAAGGCTTGTTCCGCCATCCATTTACAGAAGCTTGTTCTTCTATGTGCTGTGTCTTTTCTGTACGTTAGCGATCATGGCTCTCCACAACGTTCAGTCCTTTATAGATCTTATTAAGTCTTTTTGCTATCTTTCCTAAAACCTGTTCTGCCATCCATTTGCTCAAGCTTCCTAAATATGTATGCGTTGTTTTCCTCTGTCCCTCTTGCCTTCAATCTTCCATATGTGTATCAGATTTTCCAAGCCTTCTTTTCTCATTATGTGACCAAGAAATTATAACTTTTCTTACTGATATCAAGTATAAGTGCCCCTTTTGTTTTCATTGTCTCTGGAAATTCGACATTGCCCATATGTTCAGTCCAGGATATTCTCAGCATCCTTCTGTAGAACCCAATTTCTGCTGCTTCAAGTCTCTTCTTCATCTCTGTAGAGATTGTCTAGCATTCACTGCCATAAAGGAGGGCTGATGTTACATAACAGTTTAATGCACTTTTATTTGTTTCCAACGTTTTTCCTGTCTCTTAATACTCTGCTTAGCTTTTGGAATGCATCTTTAGCCGTCCCAATACGTCTTTGGATCTCAGTGTCACACTTTCCGTCCTCTGTTAAAACACTTCCCAGATATTTAAATTCTTGAACTTGTTTGATTTCGGTATCTCTAAATTTCAATTTGCACATTGGGCTGTCCCATTTGCTTACAGCCATGAATTCTGTGATACGGTTGTATACAAGTATGGCGGCGTATCAGGTTGTTAGTGGAATGGCTACATTAGATTTGACTACTTGCAATTCTTAATCGGTAATGCTGTTATCGCGTTAAATAAGGTTATTTGAGGAAAAGATTAGCTGGTAGGTCTTATCATTTTACCGTCGAAATACCTAAATGCAACCTTAAGTTCTATTCTAATAGTTTATTTCCTCTGACCTGTGAAACTCCCTTCTGATTTATTGCTTCCCTGCCAACTACCATCTCAAAAAAATTAAATACAACGTTAATCGCTATTTTCTCCTCATTTCTACTCACTAAAGTTTTCTCATTCTCTTTCACTCCGAGTAACTCATTGCGTCTTAGTGGTTTTATTGCCTGGGGTGAAATGTTTTTAAAAAGCGCAACGAACAATAGTCCTATTGTAGACACCTCCGTTGATGACGACCGTAGAAAGACGATCTGTAATGTGCTACATAACGCCCGTCAACATCCACCACTGACGAGAAGATTCAGCCAGCTTGGGATATGCTAATGGCAGAGTTAACATCGATACGGTAGCTTGTTCTCTGCAGATTAGGATCACTGCTCCTTGTTCCACCCTGGTGCACACTGCCAGCGGAGCGGCCATGTTTATACTGTAACAGCAGCACGGGAACAGGCACGATCACGCTCAAATTTCAATCACGTGGTCACAATGGTATAAGCACGCATGAGCAGAAGGCTGTGTGACAAACCTAGAAATATATTATGACGAAAGTGCGGTTAATTTTTGATATAACGGAATATGCGTACACCTGTGTTCCCTCTCACAGGAATATGATTGGCTGGTGTCCGTCATAAATACCGACGGACGTGTAGGAGAGCCAAAAGCCCCAGTCTGAGAGCTAAGTCTATAACGACGCCCATTGGACTACACCATTGATCTACACTTCTTACCTGCGACTACGACGAGTACCAGTCGATTACTGCTACCATATTCTACTTGGTTATAGTAGCAAAACGACTTCGCTACTTCGTTCAAATATATCCCTTTCCGGGACATATCAATTTTTGACTTAACCTTCGTAGTACTGCGCTTAAATTCATAAAGTTTAATCACCATAGCGAAGAGCGATATTTATTTTCGCTTATTTACAGAAATGTGCCACAAGGACAAAAATGGGGAATGGGGAAAAGGACAGTCTTCTTCTGTCTCAAATTTAAACTTAGCTAACCACAAACACTGACCCAAACATACTGCAATATTCCTAACACCAAAACAACGCATTCTTACTTACCTTTCTTAGTAAATTCACCATAATACCTCATCGTCTCTATGAAAAACATAACTAGTCCCCATATGTACAATTCATTGTCTGTAGTGGGAGGGAAATAAAACAACAATTTAAAAACTAGCCCCAATGATTATTTATGATATGAATACAATCTATTTACAAGAAACTAAACAAAATAATAGAATAATCTTAGTCGTAACCCCCCCACACACACACACACAAGCTTTAAATGTGGCAGAGACGAAATCAATGCGGGACTATAATGATATAAAATATTCATTTATCCCAAGCACTCACACAAACACACACACACAAACCCACAGCGAAGAGCTCATCCGATCAATTACCATGAAGGTATTTATAGAAAAGGCAAAGGGAGGCAACTTTATGAGAAAGTGAGTGAGACCGAGAAGCCAGGTCAAGACCAATAATATAGATGATTCTTCTTTGGATTGAACGAACGGTTGACTTACAGACTTACAGATATGTAAGGTAGATTATGTGGAGAAAAATTCGGCTAGCACGATACAGTGAACCAACTTTCGGGAAAAATACTAATAAAACGTGATTATCTTTTAACTAAAACGGAATGTTTAAACCTGGCTTTCATAACACACCGTACGTCTTTGAATTATTAACGATTGGTTTCTTTAACCCTTTTAATATGGATATAGTGTCCAGCAAAATTAGCTCCAGGTCTCTTTTTCTTTTATTGCAGTCGTCATGCCATCTTTGATTTGGAATGTCGCTAGCGTAAATATATTATTTGGCCGACATAAACAGCATCGACTCGAAAGCCTAGTACAAATTTTGCGACCCTTTGCAAAGGGAAATTAATTCATCTTTATTTAATTTTTGTTGTAAAGGTTTTATTTTGAAGGCGTCACTGGCACACGACGAAAATGACCAGAAACATGATGAGGATTCGCTTACAAAACACAGTGTCAGGGTGTAAGGGGTAAATAGTGCGTGAAGGGGGAGCGGATGCTTGGCAGCAATCATCTTGAGAAATGCTTTGGAAAAGGGAGAATAATAATGATTGGGAGAGAATGATAGGGACAAAAAGATTCAGCAAAAGGGGGGAGAGTGTAGAGAAATTAAGGGAGTGTTAAAAACATATGAACAGAGAGGGGGCAATAGGAGGAGTTAGACGGCGTGATACTGAAGCAGGGACCGGGGGGTGGTAGAATAGGTGCGTAAAGTGGGAATTGGGTAAGAATAAAGGGGAGAAAGAGGTGGGGATAGGAAAGGAAGATCAAAGAAGGAAGAGATATAAAGAGAGGGGCGAAAAAGTATTTCTGTAAGAAGTAAAAGAAGAGAAAAAAGAAAGGGCAGACGAAGGAAGGGCAGAAGGAGGGAAGGGTAGAAGGAAGGAAAGAAAGAAGGGCAGAAGGGCAGAAGGAAGGAAGGAAGGAAGGAAGAAAAAGAAATGAAGGAAGGAAGGAAGGAAAGAAGGAAGGAAAAGGAAGGAAAGAAGGGCAGAAGAAAGGAAGGAAGAAGGAAGGAAGGGTAGAAGGAAGGAAAGAAAGAAGGGCAGAAGGAAGGAAGGAAGGAAAGAAGGAAGGAAGGAAGGAAGGAAGGTAGAAGGAAGGAAAGTAAGAAGGGCAGAAGAAAGGAAGGAAGGAAGGAAGGGTAGAAGGAAGGAAAGAAAGAAGGGCAGAAGAAAGGAAGGAAGGAAGGAAGGAAGGAAGGAAGGGTAGAAGGAAGGAAAGAAAGAAGGGCAGAAGAAAGGAAGGAAGGGTAGAAGGAAGGAAAGAAAGAAGGGCAGAAGAAAGGAAGGAAGAAAGGAAGGAAGGAAAGAAGGAAGGAAAGAAAGAAGGGCAGAAGGAAGGAACAAGGAAGGAAGGAAGGGTAGAAGGAAGGAAAGAAAGAAGGGTAAAAAGAAGGAAGGAAGGAAAGAAAGAAGGGTAAAAAGAAGGAAGGAAGGAAGGAAGGGTAGAAGGAAGGAAAGAAAGAAGGGTAAAAGGAAGGAAAAAAGAAGGAAGGGCAGAAGGAAGGAAGGAAGAGTAGAAGGAAGGGCAGAAGGAAGGAAGGAAGAGTAGAAGGAAGGGCAGAAGGAAGGGTAGAAGGAAGGAAAGAAAGAAGGGTAAAATGAAGGATAGAAAGAAGGGTAAAAAGAAGGAAGGAAGGAAGGGTAAAAGGAAGGAAAGAAGGAAGAGTAAAAGGAAGGGCAGAAGGAAAGGTGGAAGGAAGGAAAGAAAGAAGGGTAGAAGGAAGGAAGGAATAAAGGACAGAAGGAAGGAAGGAAGAAAGGGTAGAAGGAAGGAAGGAAGGAAGGAAGGAAGGAAGGAAGGAAGGAAGGAAGGAAGGAAGGAAAGAAAGAAAGAAAGGCGGAAGAAGGAAGGAAAGAAGGGTAGAAGGAAAGAAAGAAAGAAGGGTAAAAGGAAGGAAGGAAGGAAGGAAGGAAGGAAGGAAGAGGAGGCCGCGGTGAGTGAATTTGATGGAATTGTATTTAAACCAGACAAACGAGAAGCGGAGAAATAGAAGAGAAGGGGGAAATGAAATCCATACGGATTTGAGGAGACGGGACAGGCAAGAGTCTGGAAAGTAAAAAGGGCGGGAAAGTGAAGAGAAGGACGGCCGTTCATTGGTTAAGATGAAAGAGTAAAAAAAAGTGTTAAATCAATCCTAATGGAGGAAAAAGAATAAAACGTGGAGGAGATATTTTGAAAGAAAAAATTACGAAAATGAAGGAAGAAGATTAAATAGAATTGAAGGAAAAAATTGGTAAATTGTCGAATGAAGTTTCAAGAAGAAAAATTTGAACGAGACAACAAGAGAAAGATATCATATAAAAAATAAACGAACAGGAATACAAATGAAAAGCGAAGTATCAATAAACGAAAGAAAAAAAAACGAGAAAGAAACTAAAAAAAAGAGTTTCAGAACGGAAAATATGAATGGAAATGATGAAATGAAATAAAAAGTATCTAAAAGAAAATGAAATTAAAATTAAAAGAAAGAAAGAAAGAAAGAAAGAATGAATGAAAGAAAGAAGGAAAGGGTACAAAAAAGAAAGAAAGAAAGAACGAACGAAAAGGAAAGGAAGAAAGAAAGAAAAGAAAGAAGTAAAGAAAAAGAAAGAAGGACAGAAAGAAAAGAAAAAGAAAGAAAGAAAGAAAGAAAGAAAGAAAGAAAAAGAACGAAAACTAAAGAAAGAAAAAGAAAAAAACAAAGAAAGAATGGAAAGAAAAAGAAAGTAAGAAGGAAGGAAGAAAAGAAAGAAAGAAAAAAAAGAAAGAAAGAAAGAAAGAAGGAAAGGCTAAAAGAAAGAAAGAAAGAAAGAAAGAAGGAAAGGCTAAAAGAAAGCAAGAAAGAAAGAAAGAAATAAAGAACGAAGAAACGAAAAGGAAAGAAAGAAAGAAAGAATGAAAGAAAGAAAGAAAGAAAGAACGAACGAAAAGGAAAGGAAGAAAGAAAAAGAAAGAAAGAAAGAAAGAAAAAGAAAGAAAAAGAAAGAAATAAAGAAAAAGAACGAAAACTAAAGAAAGAAGGAAAGAAAAAGAAAAAACAAAGGAACAATAGAAAGAAAAAGGAAGTAAGAAGGAAGAAAGAAAGAAAGAAAGAAAGAAAGAAAAGAATAATGAATGAAAGAAAGAAAGAAGGAAAGAACAAAAAATCAAGAAAGAAAAGAAGGAAAGAAAAGAAAGAAAGAAGTAAAGAAATAGGAAAAAAGGAAAGAAAGAAAAGGAAAGAAAAAGAACAAAAGAAAGAAAGAAAGAAAGAAGAAAGACGGGAGAAACATAAGAGAAAGAAAGGAAAGAAAGAAAGGAGACAGATGAAAAGAATAAGAAGTGGGTAAAACAAAATGAGATAAGAAAGAAAAAAAAAAGAAAAGAAGTAAGAGACGGAAAGAAATGATCAGAAACTTAACAAGAAAGAAACAAAGAAACAAAGAAAGAAAGAAGGGAGAAACATAAGAGAATTAAGGAAAAGAAAGAAGGGAGACAGATGAAAACAAAAAAAAATGTGTAAAACTAAAAAAGCAATGAAAAAAAGAGAAAGAAAACTACAACGGAAAAAGCAAAAGATAAAAAAGAAATGGAATGAAAATTCGAACGGATGTCTTAAATTTTCAGATGGTAGAACATCTTCCGTAAAAGTAAACTCAAATATGAAAGTGGATAGAGAGAAGAAAGACGCTGAGATGTCGAAAAGAGAGAACGTTTAAGAGAGACAAAATGTGTGTATAGGGGGGAGGGAGGGCATAATTAAATAAACGTTTGGGTAAGACATCGAAAAGAAAAATGTCTAAGTAACTGGAAACGAAAGGATAGAGAAAGAAAAAAAAAGAATAGCAGAGACGAAATAAGAACATAACATTTTTAAAAAAGAGAGAGAGACAAAGATGGAATCAAACCATATATAAGACGAGCAAAGAGAAAACAAATTTTGTAAAAATCACCTCAGAGACAAGAGAGAAGGCGAGTAGACAAACTGGGAGACAGATTACTGGAAAAGCTAGCTGAGAAAAGAAAAGTCAAAAAGAGAGAGAAAGAGAGAGAGAGGGAGAGATGAGATGAGATAAGACAAGAGAAGAGAGAAACAAAGAGAAGTAAGGACTTAGAAATGAAGCATAGGACTGACTGTCCGGAAAAAAAAAGAAGAGTAAGTGCTGGGGCGTTGGTGGAAGTGGCGGGTGGCATGGAACGGGCTGGCTTTGTCAAACTGGAATGAAGTTAGACAGAGATAATAATGACAAATACGCATTACAACTAATGTATTGTGTCACGATGGATACAGTAGGGTAAGAATGGCGTGTCTTCTCCATATTTCTTTCTTCTTCCTTTGCGCTCTGTCATGGCTACGCTACACCAACTCTACCCAACAATGTGCGCATGTTCGGCGCACGTGTGTATGCGCGTGTATTGGTTTACAAATTTTGTAGCATCCGTTGTTATTATTATTATTATTATTATTATTATTGTTGTTGTTGTTGTTGTTGTTGTCGTCGTTGTTGTTGTTATGATTAATTCATGTATTTGCATGTTCACTGAATGGGTTTGTTGGTTATCGCTGAGGATTAAGTGACAGCAAGTTTTCTTAAATCTCCAGCACCTTACGCAGTATCGTTTAATATTACATATGCGTGTATAGGTCCACGCCAGATATGTGAGGTTATTGCTGGACTTTAGCAGAGAGCAATTTTCCTCATACCACCAGCACTATTATTATTATTATTATTATTATTATTATTATTATTATTATGTCGTTGTTGTTGTTTTTGCAGTTAATATTAATTCATGCATTTGCATGTTCACAGGTTGGTGTGGTGGTTGTCCCTGGGGATTAAGTGACAGCAAGTCTTCTCAAATCTCCAGCACCTTACCTAGTATCATTTATTATTATATTTCATGCATTTGTACGTCCACCCCAGATATATGTGGTTATTGCTAGACTCTAACAATTAGTAAGTGTCCTTATATCACCAGCACCTTCCTCAGTATCGTTTATTAGTATTATTATTATATTTTTTTTATTATTAATTCATGAATTTACATGTTCACACGATGGGTTTGGTGGTTGTCACTGTGGATTAGGTGACAGGAGTCATCCCAAATCCTCAGCACCTTACTCAGTATGCTTTATAATTACACTTCAAGCATTTTTTACGTCCATACTTTTACATGTGCGATAATATCTGGCGTCTAACAGAGAGCAGGTCTTCGCATATCGCCAGCGCATTTCTCAGTATACTTTATGTTTTTATTTCATGCTCACATGTTCGAATCAAATGATTATCGTTCCTCAAATATCAAGCACCTTCCACAGTATCCTTTGTTGTTGTTGTTATTATTATTATTATTTCAGGCATTTTCATGATATTTAGTGGTTATCGCTAGAGGTGGAATGATAACAAGTCCCTTCAAATCTGCTGCACCTTCCGCAGTATCATTTTATTATTATTATTATTATTATTATTATTATTATTTGAAGCATTTTCATATTCATATCAGATGTTTTGGGACTGAGTATACATGTTCGGTATGCTGTTACTAAAAAATTTTTTAGTGATTTTCCAAGCGCAGCTTAGATGTGGCACAAGGCCGAAACTAGGGGGACCCAATGAGGATCGAACACATTGCTCACGTAATTGTTCTAGCGTGATAATCTTGCTAACCATTACACCGCCTCGAGGTGCCCCAGTTAGAGAAAGAATAATATACAGAAAAAAAGAAATCTAAAGAAGTGGAAAAATGTGGTTGTTGTAACCTCTATGGGTTATTTAATGCCAAAATCTAAACATTTTGTACACAATTTTACGGCTTCAGCTACAAATATTTTGTACCTAATTTTATACCTTCAGGGTAAATGTATGTTTTATAGATATATAGTTTGTTGATTATAAAATTTACCGCTGGTAATTTTGTTATAGAAAATGTATTTTTATTCTTTTATACTTTGGTTCTGTATTAATTGTCATTTTACTATAAAACTGGTCATTTTTTCATAAATATATTACTGGTATTTTTACCATAATGTATTTTTGTACTTTATGAACCCTCAAACAAAAATCCAAACACTATTTTTCCATAGCTAGGACCCTCACAGGTGCTACCACCTCAGGTAAGGGTGTAACTAGGTACAACAGCAAATAAGTTCCACGCTCATCAAAACCTTCAATCTTGCTGCCCGATGAAGTTTATCGTCATACCCAGGAAAGAGAAGGTCAAATAAAAAGAAGAGGATTTAGTTAAGCGATAATAAATATGGAGAATGATGAAGAGAAAAGAAAAAATAAGTGCCGGTAAGTAAAAAGTAAAAAACAGAGATTGGCTGTGGATCAATAAAAGAAATGGTGAAAATATATGAACATCATGTGGAGGAGATAAGATTAAAGAAATGAAGGGAAATAAATCAAATAAGAAAAAAAAAATGGACTAGAGAGTAATTTAAGAAAAGCAAAAGAAAAAAAAGACAAAAGAAAAAAGAAAGAAAGATATAAGGAAAGAAAAAAAAGTAGAAAGAAACAGACGAGAGAACGAGAAGAAAACAAAAGAGAGAGAGAGAGATAGAGAAAGAAATGCGTAAAAAGTAACGAGAAAGAAAGAAAGAAAGAAAGAAAGAAAGAAAGAAAGAAAGAAAGAAACATAGAAACAAGAGAAAAAAAGAAGGGAGATAGATGAAGTAAGTAAGACTAAATGAGAAACAAAAGTGAAGAAAGAAAGAAAGAAAGAAAGAAAGAAAGAAAGAAAGAAAGAAAGAAAGAAATATCAAAAAGTAACGAGGAAGAAAGAAAGAGAGAAAAAGAAATTAGTAAAAAGTAAGGTAAAGGAAAGAAACATAGAAACAAGAGAAAGAAAGAAATGAGAGAGATTAAGTGAGTAAAACTAAAATAGAAGGAAAGAAAGAAAGAAAGAAGAGTGAGAAAAAGAAATGATCAAGAAGTAACGAGAAAGAAAGAAGAGTGAGGGAGAGAGAGAGAGAGATGATCAAAAAGTAACGAGAAAGAAAGAAAGAAAGAAAGAAAGAAAGAAAGAAAGAAAGAAAGAAAGAAAGAGAAATGGTGAAAATATATGAACATCTTATGAGGAGGGTAAGGATGAAAGAAAAGAAGGTGAAAAATCAAATACTGAGAAAATTGCAAAAAAATGAATCACAAGACCGCCATTTAAAGAAATAAAGAAAGAAAAGACAAAAGAAATGAAAGCGGAAAAAAAAGAAAAGCTAAAAAAGAAAAAGGGCGAGAAAAAATTTTACACTGATGAATCTTTTTAAAAAAAAAAAATAATAATCTTAGATCACACATATTTTACATAAAATGTGCTGTAATTTTGAATAAAATTTGTTTTATTTCTTTAAGGCATGGACTACCAAGAATCCGTTCAATGAGTCCATAGGACCCTTTACCAATCAATCTGAGGGCTCCAACTACAACAGGGATTTTTGATGTTCTCATATGCCACATTTTTAGATTTCGATTTCAAGGTACTTGTATTTTGATAGCTTTTTGAAGATCTTCAAAGATAGCTTGCAATCTGCAGGGACAGCCATATCAATATGGAGGCTTTTTTTTTGTTTTTAAGTCTTTAATAACGATGTCTGGGCGGTAAGTTTTGATTGTTCTGTTTGTGTGTATTTTGTAGTCCTATAAAATTGTTACAAGTCCTCTCTACTTAACCGGGTATTATTATTATTTAATCGAGCTAGCTCAGACATTCACGAGTCTATCGCGCCATCCATCACGGCCCGGCATTAATGTCGAAATATTATTAGGACGGCATTGATGTCCTTATATGCCACATGTGTGAGATTTTCATTTAAAGATACTTGTATTTGATATTTATTATTATTATTATTATCATTATTATTAGTAGTAGTAGTAGTACAACCACTAAAATAGTTATATATGCAATTTATACAGACAATCTTACGCACAAATTTTGTTTTTCATTTTTCCTTTATTTTTTATTCCATATGCATGTATATGACTTGCTTAAGAAAATGGCAACAAGAATCGTACAAATGACAAGGCCAGGGGTTTGTTTTGTTGCAAAGTGCAGGAACTGCGGAAGTCTTGGGTGGAATGGTAAAGTCTAGGAATAGTAATTAAGGAACGTGGAAGGTACGACTAGGAAGGTTGGGGGGGGGGTCAGAAAGAAATGTGGGAAAGAAGACGATACTGAAGATCAAACTCCCTAGGAAGTTGTTCCCGAGAAGGAAACAATGAATGACAATGAGAACAATGCTCCCAGAGACCATTCCAACACGGAACCATTTTTTGGAGACATTCAGAAAACTCTTAGACAATGTTCATTTTTTTTTTCTTTTTTTAGTTTTCTTTTGCATTTTATTTCATTTCATTTTGTTTTTGTTTCTTTTTTACATTTTTACTTTTCTTTTTAGGGTATCCTTAAAGAAACAGGGCTGGAAGACATAGACAAGAAGAGAATAAAATATCCAAATAAAATAAATAAAATATCGCATCGACGATCATTGCTATTGTTGGCACTTGAAAATTATTATGTAAACAACACGCGATATATTGATGGACGGAGATGCATAAAGTCATGGCAAGGTCAGGCAGTGAACCCCTGTTTTGTGGCATGACAAACCCTGAGTTTCTATTCTATGACACGCGACTCATAAATATATTCTCAAATAAATATATTACGTACATACCTCTTCCGAGAAAAAGAAAATACAGACCATGTCCAAAATAGAAAAACATTAAGCTTTCAGAGACTGAACACTTCCTAGGATTTCCTTAATGTGTGTAGCAGTATTCGATTTAAATGTTTCTTGTGTTCCTGGAAAAATGTTTTGGATTTAATGCATCATTCTCTATTTGAAGGTTATGTTTCGATAATGTACCAAATTCTTTTATTGAAATGTGTTTTTTTTTCTTCTTTTTTTCTTCAGACGGGATAATTATGTTTATCAAACAGCACTTTTTTGTTGTTTTTATTCAATATTCTTTGCTTTATTGATGTGTTTGTTTAATGGCATATCAACATCGTATGGGTCATTTAACATCGAAATTTAATTTTCTTGGCAGCTTTGAAGTAATAAAAATAAATTTAATTTTATTTTACTTTCACAACTGAACAAGTGGTAGATGATACTCAGCTTTTTGCATATATATATATATATATATATATATATATATATATATATATATTATAAATTAATTGATTTAAAATAT